GTACTCTTTTCTTTCAAATGTAAAAGTAAAAATGACAATGTTTTGATCTCGGCAGAAACTAATTGTCTACCGATTTAGTTTCATTCGATAGTAAAAAATATTCGACTCAAATCTATTGATAAATTAACATCGGAGAGACATTTGTGTCAATTGAAAATTATTTCGTAGAATATCTTCGACAAGTTTCTGCTGAAACTCAACAAAATCGTATTCTTTTTTCAAGTGTTTCTCTTAAAAAAGTTATTCGACGAAAATTAAAGATAAATTGAAGTTTAAGAAAAGAAATATTCTAGATGGAATTAATTATTTAAAAATAAACTCAATTTTATTGTTAGCCTTTCAAGATACAATTTTAATTCGAAAATTTTTCAATGTTGACAATCATTCAATTAAATCTTATTCAAACGAAAACTGAAAAGTTTTGACAAAAGGGGAAATATTTTCAAAATCAATTTGTTTTAGATAAAAGTGTAACAAGGAATCAATATGAAATGTTGATTTACTCAATTTTCAATCAAACTTTTCTAATCATCTTGTTTAATTTAACAATTTTGTCAATAAAAAGATTGATTATTTCTGTGTTTAGACAAAAGATATTCTTTTTCAGTAATACCGAGTCGAGTTATTTAATCGATGATTTCCAAGATAAAAAAACGAATTAAAGTCTATTTGACATGTTTTTATTGAATAAAGATCGATAAAAGTTATCATTAAAAAAAATAGAATGAGAAGAAAATTTTAGGCAAAAATTTTCTTTTTCTATTTCATCGATTTTTGCAAATGTTTGTCTTTAATCGATTTATAAAATAGAAATAATTAATCAACATCATCATTCCAACTGCAAATGTTAAAAGACTTCTGTTTATTCGATTAAGTTAGATTAAACAGAAGTTTTTCTTAACTCACTCTCACCCTCAAGATACTTGCTCAGTGAGTAAAATAAAAGTAAAAAGTTGTTGATAAAAACGAGAAAAAAAAGAATGAGAAGCAGTTGTTTTATTATTCTCATTGCACTGTTATTCTTTGTGTCTTATTTCTGACTATCATATTATGATGATATCTATTGACATAATTCAATCTAAAGAGGATCTATTGGCCATTTTAACATTTCTATAGGTCAATCTTCGAAGGAATCTTTCTCTTAACATGCAGAGTTCAGACAATTTTCTTTCCATCGAGTTTGAACTCGACTCTCTTAGAAGAGTGAATCAATTGGCACCAAACATTATTGCTAATGATTCAACTTCTAGGGTGGGTGGGTGTGGGCGTGCAGGAAAAGACACCCACACCCATCCACACCCACCCACACCCACACCCACACCCACCCACATCCACACCCACCCACACCCACACTCACCCACACCCACACCCACACCACACCCACACCAACACCAACACCCACCCCACACCCAGACCCACACATCCACATCCACACCCCATTTCAACGATGACTATGACCATTTTATATTTCACCATTGATATCATCCATTTTTCATTTCTTTATCTGAATAAGTGGTTGCAAAATCATATGAAACTTTTGTCACAAGATAAACATAAACTCATTGAAAAGGAAAAGAAAAAAAAGAATCTCACTATTGACATTATATAACCAAGAGAAATTTTAACACAAAACAAACAAAATAACAACTTTCAGTAATGTCTCACAAAATTATTTCATCTTTTCTTGCATTACCAGTGGAACTTGTCTACCGGATTTTGGATAATTTGGATGCATTAACTATTCTATGCTCAGCGCGCAATGTTTGTACACGCATTAATCGAATTGTGGATACATATCATCGATATCAGGTACAGTTTTTCTTTATCTCAATCATTCATTTTGCATTATTTTCAAAATATTCATTACTATCATAATATATCATATCTCTTTTTATAGTTTATTTCCTTCATCTCAAACTATTAGACAAAACAGAATACATATAAGGGTTTGGGTGTGAGTGTGAGTGTGCATTCTATCTGTAACCGACACCCACACCCCACAATTAAAACGACATACAAACACAACAACAAAAAAAAAATATCACAATGAAACGCACCCGGAAATTGACCAAATGCTTCAGCGAATGAGGCACTTCAGTGATTCCATGTAGGGATCGATGTAACGTCACGATTTCATCCCATGGGTGGAATACTGGGATGGCTATCATTGGTCTGAAATTATGATCGCAGAATCAATTCCTTAAAAAAAGTCTTCAGACTTTTCAAACACTGATTTGGCCAGAATCAGCGTCCGAACGAAGCTCCCGGACATGGGATTTTCTTTTTGAGGAATTGATTTTGGAATCACAATTTCAGGCCAATGATAGCCTCACCACAAATAGACGTACGGATTGATGAACAAAATCTCAGGTGATCTAATACAGAGGGCGATGCCGTTAAAAACTTGTTGTAACGACTATCACAAGATATGGCGCCTTCATAAAGCCATCGCAATGTGTATTGGAACATTTGAGATTGTGTCCATCAATCAGTACGTCTATTCATGGGAAATCGTAATGTTTACATCGATTTCTACAAAAGGTGCTTGTGAAATAAATATTGAATAAATTCATTTTAAAAACTGTCAGTTCGAGTCTAAATATTAGAGTTAAATAATTGAGTTAAACTTGACCTCCAACGCCTATGCGATGAAGTTTTAAGAGAAATTCATTGGCGATAAGTTGTAATTCAGATTTATTTTTATTTGCCGCCGAAAGGAAATCGATTAGCATCAGGAATTGTTTTCCAATTCGACTTTCCAGAGGTTCATCGGATTGGCTGACTTCCATAAATTTCTGATCTGTGTTACAAAACTTCATGATGACACAGCTGCTTGTTACAATGAATTGAGGCATATTTCTCATCCATTCAAAAACCAAGTGAAAGAAAAACATCATCGGCTGCCGCGCATTTGGATTTGTGTTGATCAAGGCTCTGCCAATTTTTTCCACGTATGAGTGAGTCGGATTTTCAGTTACAGAAGCTTCAAGCCTTTTCGCTTTGATTTGACAAAGTAATTCGTGCATTGTCCACGAAAAGCTTAAGTAGGCTTGACGTTGGTTGGTGCCAGCAGTGATCGAACTATTGTAATCGGTATAGGCAACAAAATAATAAGCTGAAGCCTTTTGCTCTCGTTCAATCATGGACCTAGAAATAAACAGCAGACGACAGACTTTTGTTGAAGACTGGAGCTGTTTACGGACCTAGCAGTCATATACTTCTCAAAAATACGCTGCGTTTCGTTCCGTAGAGATCGAAATTCTTGACTTGCTGTTTCCACATCATCATTATTTTTTACCTCCTCAGGTGTATTAGAACGACATTCTGTAATTAATTCCAATTCATTTTCTAAATCGTAAGTATTCAAAATCATGTCCATTTTGCGAACATAATTTTCATAATCGAGCATCGCGTCTCCAAGGTATTTTTCATACCCAGTAACAAGTAGATCTTGATCAATCAATATTGGCTTGATTGTTTCACTTGCGGATAGATGAATATTCACCGTTTCCTCCATTTGACGAAAGAGGTGACCCAATGCTTTGTCACACTTGAAAACATTTTTCGTTTCGTTCTGCATGAAAATCGGGATACTCATGGACATTTAATTTTCGAAATTGCCCCATGGTTATGGAACTTACACCAGTTTTGGGAAAGTCCAATGCATCATTAATATATTGTGTCAATTCTAGAGCCATCTGATTTTCGGGTGAATCACGTGCACATATAGCTAAATGGCGACGTGATAGAATGCCCACGTGAGCTGCCTTGGAAAGGATATCCACGATAAATTCTACCATCATTTCCATCGTAATTTCACCCTCGACTTTAGGCTTTTCGGGAGCTATATAATCCCCAGGTTCTCTCTGCTTCACTTGATCGACGAATAAGGGATTCCAACAAGTCCAATATTCATCACCATCTAAATCTCCACCGGACATTTCGGTCGGATGAGGTCGATTTCCTTTCGCTGGAAAAACGATACAGTCCACAAGGTGACGAAGAAGTGGTTTATCCACAGCTCGTAAGACTCGAACGTCGCCTGGATGATAACATGGCATTCTTGTCACCAGAATGTTGCAGTCGGTGATAGTCTGCAGTTCTTCTTTACCTTCTGCTGTTTCCTTTGATATTTGAATGAATACCTCACCTTCATTTAACGAATTCATTTCATCAACAACCCCATATAACATGCGGCCATCGTCCATGGAAAGAGGTATATGACTTTTATTTCGTAAACGCTGCAAACTGAAAAAAGTCAGACGAATGAATGCTATGCTTTTCTATTCATCTGACGATTTCTTACCGATCAGTAATTAACGTCATCAATAAAGACCTTATGAAGGGCTCCTTTGGTACTATAAACCCACTTTGATCAATCGTGTTCCAGTCATAGTGACGAATAGTTTTATCAAGAAGTGAGATAGCGGATTTGTTGGAGATCAGCGCCAAGGATAACCGCTTACGACATTCATTTTGATACTGAACAAATGTGGATTGATCAACGCCTAAGAACTCCAATAAAGTGATCAGTTGCTGATTGAGTGCGGTCCCATCTAAAGAAGAGATATTCAACTTTGAATGATAGGGAGGTTTATATTTGACCTTACTTGGTTGGGAACATTTGATTAACTCCAATTCCAGATGATCGGATTTAAACTTCATTTGGCTTTTGCGATAATGAATAACATCTCCGTCCAAATCAGGTGCATGAGCCAGAACTCCTTTGATGCCACCACATCGAATTTGAATAACACTGGGTAATCGACGTGTGTCAAATTGATCCCCATATGTTTTCGTAAGGAGCTAGACAACAAAAAGTTATCAAAATGAAGATCATCGCTTCAAGAAAATTTACCTTGCGCAATAATGAAGTGGAGATTTTGCCGCATCCGTCTGTAAAACATCGTTGTTTGGCATCGAATCGATCCGGAATAACGACCAATTGCTCTTTTCGGAGCTATAGAAAACATAGTAATAAATGAGAGGTCAATGGGCTTTCAAATTTCACTTACTAAAATACCCTTTATGGTTGAAGTAAAGCATTGAGCCATGCGTGCTATGCGTGTTCCAACAGATTTCTCATGATTAAATTCGCCCAGCCATTGACGAATGCCTTCGACAGTCCATGATTCAAATGAGCGATAGAAACAAAGACTACGATCTCGCAATTGACTATTGGAAAAGAGTAAGAACTCAAAATGACGTTGACCAATAATCAATCCATCGTTAAGAAGAATTGCTTTTAACTGTGATTGCCAAGCTTCAATGGCATCACTTTGGATGAGCGACAAGTCACAGTCACGTAAGATTACTCGACAGAAATGTCGTATCGATAAACCAAAACGTTTGCATTGACGAAGAACACGGTTACCACGAATTGGTTTTAATGTTCGAGGATAGATACCATAGGGTGTGAGATAAATTCGTGGTACATAGTCGTAAGACGGCTGTAATGGTGGTAACCATTGCCCATGAATTATATCATATTCTTTGGCAATATTGAAGAAGCGATTTTTCTTGGCCAAATGATAAATTGCAATAACTTTCTTGTAAAATCGATGTGCAGGATAGCGATCCCGCTGGGACTGTCTGGCTTCTCTTCCAACATAATGCATAAACTCTCCATCTAGCCGATCTTTTATATGATAACCCAAGGATAAAAGCATTTGCCAAACATAATGTGACAAAAAATCCACATCGCTCGGTAATTGAATATGGTAATTATCACCGACCACTCGCATCAACATCGGTGAAATCAAAAAAAAACATTTCAATTTCAACTGATCAATTAAAAATTCCTGCAATCTGTAGAAGTCTGGTGGTTTAGTAATACAGATCGCTGTTGTATCGCCAAGATTTTCTGCTGTCACTGCATCAGTAAACTTATACAAACGAGGTGGACAACCGCGTAGTGTCTTTTGAAAGCATCGCACTGGCTTCTTCAACGGTAAAAACATCGTTCCCGATCGATCGATGAGGAAATATTGATCCAAGCAGTCTTCAGCCAAACGGAAACGATATTGACTCAGAATAATCATGATTTCCGCCCGTTTTTCATCAAACTCAATTTCAATGTCACGGACCGTGCGGTGATAATTGAACGTCATCAAGTCTGAGAATGAGCCGAACCTAACTTCCGACTGGCCAACCGGTAATGAACCTTGGTGAACGTTGTTTCGATGAAAATGTATCCATATCTGATTTGAAGACCTAATTTTGCCCAACTCCATTTCATCCGGTATTAAACACTGCCGCGTTGTTAACCCACGAATATATTTCAGCGACGATTGAGCATCGAGTGGTATCGGCGGATAACCTCTGGTCAACTCATCGATCACTGGAGCTAAATCGGAAACAATTGTAACTGGAAAACCACTTTGTACCATATTGAGAGTCAACCTTTCAAGACCAGATAAATATTGTTGTGCTGTTTCAAAAATCTTTCTTCGCCTTTTTAAAGATTCAGGTGAGTGGGTTTTTTGCGATAAAGAAAATAGTAAAATGAGTAATCCTGCAGCATAGCATCAGTCTGTGAGCTGGCAAAAATGCAAAGTTCGACGAGAACAAACTTATCTTATTTGTAGACATTGGATGAATCACTGAATCCACTAGGAAAAAACCCAGTGACGTTGAGAAGTGACTTAGGTAATGGAAGAAGTGCGTCAACATTTTTCTCTCGCCTGAAGGAGTTCTTCACCTTTCAGTTTGAGAGTGTGGGTGTGGGTGTGGGTGTGGGTGTGGGTATGGGTGTGGGTGTGGGTGTGGGTGTGGGTGTGAATGTGGGTGTGGATGTGGGTATGGGTGTGGGTTGGAGGGTGTGGGTGTGGGTTTGGCTATTGATTACTACACCCACACCCCATACACCCACACCCACACCCACACTCACATCCACACCCACCCATACCCCATACCCCACACCCACACCCTCCAACCCACACCCCTTAATTTTTACGTTTCACAAGGTATTTACTTATTTGATAGAAAACAGCCCGCGCAATTGCTGTTGTTAGTTGCTGCATCTTGATCGATATCTTAAATCTGAGTGAACAGCTCGGAATCTACTTTATTACCCAACAAGCCTCATTTAATGATGGAGATCACCGACGTTTTTTTAATATTTTATTTGTCATCGACTGTGCTGCAAATTTCGAACATGTATTTATTTGGTCCAAAATCCGACTCCTATATTGTGGTCTAATAGAAGTCGGCGAACTATTTCCATATTTAAAATTATTGCCGAGTTCTAACAACTTGGTCATTGTTGTATGGACCTTCTTTAGTCTGGAATGTCTTCTGCACATAATTTCTATTTTGGTCGTTGAATCAGATCACGAATTTATTTTGAACAACTGTGGTCGCGCGGCACTTATTGGCTGTATAAATCTTTTATGTACACTCGTGATTTATGCACTGTTAAGTGGACAGTTTTTCTTTCTTCTATTTGTCCAATCCGATTCGAGATTACGATCGACTTTCTATGAAATTTTGCTTCTTCTTATCTTCTTTGGAACTGTACAAATAGGAGAAATAGCAGCAGATAGGATTCAAACATGGATGAAACGGGAGCAAGAATCACCTGAAGGTTACGGATCATTCATATGGCAAGAAATACCATGTGTTATGGGTATGATAGCGTCCATAATCGCTGTGATAGTGATGACCATATATACAGGGCAAGAAATACATGACTACAACACTGGCTTAAAAACTTTGCCCGATTACGATCGAGGCCTGTACATATATTTACTCGTTTTATCAGGCTTGACGTGGGGATTAATAGCTATCATGTTAATTGGGGCTATTATTGCATTACCGATAGCACTTGTAGTATACTGTTTCTGCAAACAGCATATTCGTTCTATTCTCTCCTTTTACATTTTTCTGGTATGACTATGGCTGAAGACAAGATATTTAATCAAACTCATTCACATAATCTTAAATCTTTTGAATGTATTGTTTGTGATTCAACGTAAATAAACTCGAAATACAGTGTATACGGTCTGCACATTTATTACTAATGTATGAATCAATAGCATCCTTAGATGATGACGATAATGATTGAATGGTATCAAAATGAGCATGTAAACTTAAAAATTAACAGGATGTAGATGTGAATATTGGTATTCTCTTTTCTTGCATTCATATCGGTAGCAAGGCTCTTTAATTGCAAAGAAATGCACATGATTGATATCTTATATAAAATGAAGAGTATTTGGAAAAGACCCGAACACCTCCAAAAGAGGAACTGATACTATCAAATGATCGAGCTTAGCAAGCTGATTCTACGAATACCCACGGACATCCACAACAGTTGAATATTGAACCGATTGTCCAATTAGGGTCTGAGTAGTAGAGACCTGCGGAAAACTGCGAAATTCAATTATCGCTCCGACTCCGGCGGAGTCGAAGTCAGGAAAACGAAATTTTCCGGGGTCGAGGCCAGAGTTGAGTTTTCTGAAAAGATTTTTTTAGAGCCAAAATTACATCACTTCTGATGAACTTTTGCTATTTCAAATAACGATAACTTTCTTTTTCATATTCACAAACGAAAAAAATAAAAAATAAGACTTGGTACATATCTTAGGAATGAATTTCAGGATCAAAACTCTACATGGACTACCTTTTAGCTATATTATTCGAAAGATCGGCTACATAAAACCATAATGCCATTAATGAAAATATACTTCGTTGTCATTCAAAGTCGTACATAGACGTTTCATAATTTTCTTCGAAGTACGCATTATATGTATGGTAAAATTTTTCCAATTCAGGTAAATTTTTTAAAATAAATTCTTCCCATCGATTAGCAACAAGAGAAGCAATATCTTCAACTACTGTTGTCAACGATAAAATTTTTATTTTCGAATTTAATTTACTAATAAATATATCAAACACATCAAATAACATTTTACTATATATATGGATAGAAAGACGTATAATATCATTAGTTTAATAACTTTAATGTTAACATTTCGGTCGATTAGATTTAAAAATTTTAGATAATGAAGTTGTGATGTATAAGATATTATAGGAAAAAGTTCATCGAAAGCACATGGATGGTCAGTAATAAGGTGTTCAATAGGACTAATTTGTTCATTTTAATTGAAATCAAATTAAGAGATTCAAGACAATTAAATGATGAATCGATGATAAATGATGAAATAATTTAATTAGTACTTGCTGATATTCATAAGTGAATTGAAAATATTTGATTTTTATTGAAATGTAAAATTTGTTGATAATTATTCATAAATATTTCTTTTGATTTTAAATAATTAAGTATTAATTTTAATCGAAGTGATAAACAATTGATTAACTGTTGAAAACAATAATTAAGATTTGAAAAAGCATAATAGATCTCACAACCATCAAAAATAATCGAAGATTTCATAAAATAATTCATTAGAGAAAATTTCGATAGAATCTATCGACATACTAGATGAAAATCTAATATTAATAAAAGTTTTTTTTTCCCTCTGTGACTTACGTTTCTTGATTAACTACAGATAACAAAAGATGAAATAAATTGATCTAGACGAAAGAATAAAGCGTGTACATATGTTTGTTGGTTATTTAATGAAATCTGCGATAAATCATTGAGAGTAAACTATCCTCACTCTGCATATAACATACTGGATTTTATTAATAAACACTGTTAAAAAGAATTTCAATAAAGTTTTTATGTTATTTACAATAATTTCGATTTCAAATAGATATTATCGAGTACACATTTGATTTTATAATTAAAAAGCAGTTTTTCAGAACGAATCATTTTGTCTAGCAATTCATATCATTCATTTTGAGATATAACATAAGGACAAAGAACTATAAGAAAATAAATTTCTTAAAATATTTTACTTATAAGTCTTATCGAACATAGAATTATAAATTCTTCAGCACTTTTAAATCTTTTGATTGACATAATGATAAAGAATGAATTTTTAATGATTTAAGTTCTGGTAATGAAAAATATGCTTAATATTCATGATTACAAAATTATCATGAGTAATATGTATATAAGTGAATTGCAACTTTTTGGCACGATTGAGATTTTAACTGTAACATCCACACCAAATTTCAGCTCTTTACTTCATACTGGCGTTGAGTTATAAGGAATATATTACCAAAAAAAAGTCATTTTATGATGATATGTAAAAAGAGAAGGAAATTTTTGACTATAATAGAACAAGAGAAAAAGAGTATAAATAGACATTATAATCACTTTTTAGAGTGACATTTTGAAAATTATGTACTCTATAATCCGTCAATGGTTCGTTCGATTTGGCTCAAATTTTTATAGTAGATGTAAAGCAAAAAGTGATATAAGCGATAAAAATTTCAGCCTTTGATGCTGTACCGTTCAGGAGAAATTTACATTATACTGAAAAATGTAGAGTGATGCTTTTCCCGTAGATATGTCCACTTGAATCTGTTTGAAAATATTCTTTTTAAATACAATTCAGCTCAGCAAAAAGTAATGAGCAAATCTATATATTGTGAGGTTTTTCCGACTTTATAATACTGGTTAATTGAATGGAGTCTTTTCACTATATAATACACATTTTATCATTGAATTTAGCAGAAACTGAACTATACTTCGTATAGCTCGGTTAATATGCAGTAAAGTGTCGGGAAATTTTTGCCACATAATACAGACATAGAGTGTAATAAAATGTACTTCTCAGAAATTGTTTAGGCCTATTTTCATTTTACCGAGGCAATCGTACCAAAAAGTTGTGATTCACACATATATAGAAAAAGAAATAATTCAAAATACAATGATCGTTTCATCTCATTGATAAAAATAAAATCATAAAGTAAATACACAAATATTATCTAGAAAAATTAATAAAACTATTTCAAAGAGTTGTAATAATATAAAGGTCTAAAAAAAAGCTAACTAGTTCGTCTGATAGAATATTTAGAAAAAAAGTAACGTTGTTATAGCACTTATTGATGAAATCGAAAATTTCTTAATGAAGTCTGAAAATGAATTACAAGATATAAATGCAAATAACTGTTTCGAGAAACGACGAGAACTGCGTCTGCTAGTATAAACTAAGAGACCATTCAGATTAGTTAAACATTATATGATCGACTTTAGAAAAGATATATATGTTGATACGAAGAGTCAAACTATACATATTGCTCTTCATTGATTAAGGGCGACATTTCTTTAACAGCAGGTTTTTCTCGAAGATGAACATACCTGTAGACATAAAAAATACATTTCTCTATGATATAAATTTCTATACAAGAGTAGACTGTTACATAAACTAAGGTGACATATCATAATCGATGAATCAATATGTACCTGCTGTAAACCGAAACATGATAATATTTTCTTTCCTTCGGGTAATGTTTTATTTTAAAGCTACGCTCTATATCTGTTTGGTGTAGTTGTCACTGTAAATAAAAATCATAAAATCAATTGATAATATGTATGATTGTATCCACGATTAACTAATCTTAAATGTCTAGACTTCGAGATCTTTCGGAAAAAAAGCAAAAAATAATAAGGACATGTACAGTGCTCGTTTAACGAAGAAAAAAAAACGACTGTATTATAATATTCATTGTCATACTACTTTTCAGATGATTCATTTAAAAGATTCTCAACCGATTATGTCACCATAATAATTAACTATGCAGTACTTTATCTATATTTCGATTTCAATCTGATTAGTGAAAATTACTTATATTAGCAACAATCATTTTAATGAGGACAGAACAACACTAATTTAATTAAAATCAATTCTTGATTTAAACTGAATAATATTGAAGAATCAATTAGTTAACTTTAAAAGGCAACTAAATTATAAAAGTAACTTAGACATATATATATATATGTAGATGTGCACAAGAGTATTGCTATAATATGTCACAATCATAAAAAGCTTAAGAGTTTTCACATTGTTATTTAAAACAAACAATGCAAAACTGATACTATGATCATGAATATTAGATGCTCTCTTGTAAATATTTTTATTTTAGTCTTTTGCAATAAATACATAAATAATTGAAGAAACATATATTTAGTAGTTGCAGAAATAACTTCAAACATAAAATATCTTGTAATTATTTCCTGTCATAAAATATACTGTGAAAAATAAAATAGAAAGAAACAGATTAATTAAATAAGATAATCATATGAAATAACACATGAGCATATTATTGAGGTACAAAAAAAAATTACGTCTTTTGTATTTTAGATATATTCATGATAGATAGGTTGCTATCTAAGGTTTTTATTGGCTTGTTTATTATCATTGTATTATCAAAATTACTTCTGTTTGTTTTTCTTTGTCGTTCTCTTCATCTTTTCCATCTAGACAATTTATTTTTCTTTATAAAACAATACTCACCAATCATTTTTGTAATTAGATATTATGTATAAAAGACATGGTTGATTTGGTCGTCTAGTATCATAAATATATATTTATATAGAATACTTAGTTATTTCAAATATTATTTTCATTTTATCAAAAGAAATTTAAAAATGACATCAATAATAGGTAATGATCGACACTTATTTATACGAAAAATATTAGCTGGATTAATACTGGCTGCAATTGCTTGTGCTGTAATATCTGGTTTTGTGATTGCTATGATCCTTAGTGACCGATCTCAAGAAACTACAATTGTTCTACAATTACCAGCAACTATTGTTTTAAACAGATTTATTGAATCATACGAATTACCACTGTTTTATAATGCACTAGATATAATGGATATTATTGTTATTGATATGAAAAAACTTTTGAATACTACATTTGAAGATAAATTTGTTAATCTTATAGTCACATATTTTTCACCAACGCCTAATATTACTAAAACAACAACAATACAAACATCATTTCAAATTATCGATTCTACAACGGAAAATATAATAACAAGTAAGTATGATATATCTATATGAATCGTAATATAAACTTGTACATATACTTCAGAATCAAATACTCATAAATTCAATGATATAGAAAGTCGAGATCCAACAACTACAAATACAATATTTAAGTCTTCAGAAATAGATTACATTGAAAATCAAAATAATCAAACAACATCAATTATTTCTAACAATAGTATCAATCGATGTAATATTACAAACAATACAACTGGTCAATCATCTATTATATCTTTAAAAATGTTTCTATATTTTCAAATTAAAAATAGTGAAACTATTTCAATTCCAGAAATAATTGATACATTTCAAAATTTGAAACCATCTATTGCTGTAGTTAATAGATGTAAAGAATCAAGTTCAAAAACAGGTTCTTTCAATCAAATGCTGTCAACAATCGCATCATCCACTCAAGTGAATATCGATACGACAACTTTACGAAATGAAGAAAATGTTCCTCAATCGTTAAAAAGCAATGTAACTGATATAGCAGCAAGAGCTGTATATCAATTCAAATATTAGATACAAACAAATGCCATCACAATAATGACATTACCACTTGATAACAGTACGATATTAACTTACGTTTCAAGTTCTACTTCCTTAGCAATTGGTTAAATATAATGAAAATATGATATTAATATTTTTTTTTAATTTATTATATTTTGTTGTAATGTATTTTTGATAATTAGAGTCATTGAAGAAAATAGTCGATAGAAATATATTAGATATAATCTATCCAATTAGAATACTATGACATAAATAACTTGTTTTTGTGTACTTCAATACTAAAGTTTGAATGACATAAAAAAAAGTTGACAATATAAATTATTTTTCGGTCAATATAATTAAGTCGACTTATTGCTTTTTCAATCGCTTATGGTGAAGTCGGCCATCTCATTCTCCTCACTACAACATCTGCTCGTCTTGCAGAAAAGTTGCCCAAGATCGTCAGAGTGTGATGAATGCATATTTTCGAAATTCATTTCCTTTCGGAAACTATAAAAAATTTGTAAAATGATATTTAACAGCTAATAGTTTTCTTCTATGGCAATAGCTGATCACTCACTTATCAGTTGAGTCAACATAGTTAGTTGAATGCGATTTATATATTTATTATAATTTCCTCTATACGAGTCTAAGATTTTGAAATAGTAGATGTCGTCTAGAATTGTCTTTTGATAGTTTTCGTACAATATGATGATTGTGCTTTCTTCAATTCGTTTATCGGATTTTTTTGTTTGTATGAAGAGTATGATAAACAAAAACAAGGTGTTTTATTTAATCCTTTCAATCTGTCAAGTCATCTAAGAGATAATACGCAGAACACAAAAGAAATATTTAGCGTTCTATCGTCTTCTTAGACGACGGATATCATACGAAATGTTTCAAAACAAATCATTCCTTATGACTATGGATAATAATGCTGAATTTTAAACACAGTTGATTGCGACGACAGAACGCAAGAAAGAGACAGGTATAGATATTATTCTTCATGTGCGTGCAGAACGCAAGAGAATATCGAGATTGAAAAGCTTAATGATTATGAATAAAAACTCGTGAATCAAATAAATATTATGTCTGAAAAAAACATCAATTCACTAGTTTTTTGAAAATACGATTATTAAATTACTATTAGTAACAAAATAATCCTAACATAAACAAAAATAGCTCATATACAAGGAAAAAAAACTGATATGACAGATTGTACATAGTTTGCTTTCATTTTCATCTTCTTGTATGAGCCATGAATCAACAAAGATCTTCATCTACGAAACCGAAACGTTCTTTTAATTTGTTCTGACCGTCAGAATGTGTCAAATGTGTATCCAACTTTTATAACAACAATTGATTAAACTGAACAGCTGTACTTTCAATTCCATATTCTGATTCACTTAGTTATGAAATAAATAAATATTGATTCTGACACTGGTAGCAACAATCATGGTCATAATAGTAATTAAGATTTTCCTGTGTTATTAAGATCTGTATATAATCGAAAGAATGCAAACAAAAAAGAAACCATCAAGATCAATATGAATGCATAATATAACATTGAATAATCTTTTATTAAATAGAAACCTTTCGAATAATACATTTAGATTTAGTGACTAAAAAAAGCAGTTCTTAGTCACTTAAGATGCCACTTTTCAAAATAGATCAGTCATTATCTCTATGAAATAAATACGTTTTAAAACTTATGTCACACTTTTTTTTGCATATATAGCGATTAAATAAACAACTCCTTATCCTGAGTTTGACGGCAAACTGCTGTAATAAAAAAGAAAATGTTTTTAGCGCCATCTATAATAAAAATTTATCTCATGACTGAGTCGATTTGAGCTAGCGCAGGTGGTTTAGATACATCAACATTGTCAGAGTTCATCGAAATCGACTCAATTCTGTCAGTTTTAATAGACTTCAAAAAATAAAATTCATCCGTTATTATACAATATTTAAAAAAATTCTCGGTTATAGTTATCACATAGCTATATAGAGAAGCATCAATACGATATTTTTTTCTTCCTCTAATTTCCTGCTTAGTACTATCTACACAAAAGAAAATTCAATGATGCTTAAAAACTGAGAGACAAATATTAATGAAAAGTGAATCTATAGAATTCTTTCAGTTATAGTCACGCATATAGAATACTGCGTAATTAATTAGTTCTTTATTTTTTTATTTGTTCAAACCAGCTATATTTCCTTCATTAATAATGCATATGTTCATGTTAGTTTAATAATAACAATATGACTGAAAACATTAGATAATTTTTTTCTGCATACAATCTATTTAAAAGAATTTATTTATATCTTTTTTTTCTATATTATGTTTCTTTCTTTTGTTAACATTTTCTTTTCTTCCTTTACATTGATGACATCAAAAAGTTGATAGCAAAAAAAAAAAAAAAAGTGTGATTCTTTAGATTTTTATTTGATATAACTCTGTCTTTATATAGTTAATCGAATAACATATCCTAATATACAAAGGCTAATAACAACGGTAAAAGCATAATTGGTATTATATATTACTTATTCTTTCTATTCTTATTCCATCATAAATACAAGATTTAAGTGTTGATGAATTTACTATTAATTATTTTTGGTTTTGATCCATATTATATGGCTTATTATTACTCGTTAGACATTTCATTAATCGACTAAATTTATGTTTTTGTTTTTTTTTTAAATTTAATCTAATTGAAACGAATATTTTGAAAAGAAAATCAATTCTTAATAGATAAATACTATAAAATTATGGAAGAATATCGTTTACATTTGATTTTTATTGTTATTTCAACAATTTTCATTGTCTTATTATCATTATTTATATTTCTTCTTATGTCATTTCGTTGAATTATCATATTAAAACTTACAAATCAACTATTTCATTTTTTTTTTCTTAATATTATATATCTTTTTAATAATCTCTATTGAAAAATTTTTCTTCAATTGTTTATATTACATAAAATTAATCCAAATGAAATATTTTGCTTAGAAATTTTTCTATACTTTAACAACTTATACTTGAATGTAGTATCTAGAAAATATGTTTTGGGTGGGTGTGAGTGTCCATCTTTTTCTCAAGTTTGCCGAAACTAACGATTATAGTTAAATATTCTATGATTTTAAGCGAATTATCTTATAAATCATCAATCAAAAGATAATTCAAGAGAAATAACTCAAAAAAAAAGTGCTAATTGTCAACTAAATAAATCAAAAAAAAAACCAAGTATTGAAGAATTATTTTAGATATGATACGAATAAATTCTAGAATAGTTTTCTTTAGTGTAGAACACTAGAAAATAAACTACTGGAACCGTGAATCAAAAAACCTTAGTCGCAAATCTCTACTTATGAATCATACAAGAAAAAAATGTCCAAACTTGTTGAGTGATTGACAATAATGATCATACAAATTTAGAAATTCCTTACTATACCAGTCGAGTAATAGTACTCAAATGGTGAATGTAAGATGATGTTATGAGTTCATTGATATGCACAGTTATAATGCATTAACCAGAAATGATGAAAAGGAGAGGAAGAGAAAAAAAAAATAGTATAAAATATATTCAAGTTCAGAGTAGGGAAGTGTTCACCTATGAAATCAATTTAAAATTTTGTTATCTATTTTATTTCATTATTAAAATAATCAGATATGCAGATATTAAATATTTTATAAGCATCCATTTGTTTTGATGATTAGACATGGTCAATTATTCACTTGAAAATATATTCTTACATATCTTTTTCTTTTCCGCTTATTCGATTTTTCTTTGGTGTTCATATACATAATAAATTCGGCATCGCGTCTACTTTTATATATATGTATATTGATCTCCATTTGTAATTAGTTAACTATCCAATCAATTTTTCAGTCATTTGCACTTGTGAAATGACGGTATGTATATGTGATTATTTCCGGTCATTCATATTTCTGTGACTCTCTCGAGATTTCAACACTTCACTTAATCTCCACATGACATACATACATGCAATTATCGTTTGAGAGAGAGGCACAAGAAATGAAATAAAGAAAAAAAAAGAACGTTAATCTCGACTAGTGAACAGCTCTAACAATAATTTACATCTATTCGATCGTCATTATTCTAATAAATACATGTTTACAACCCTAGAGCAATTTTATATCTCATAAAAAATATTCTTTTTCACATGTTTTCCCATACTTATAAAGATATAGACAATCAGTTCCCTACATCTTAAAATAACAACAACAGACAAAAAAAAATAACATATTAATCAACATCTTAATGTTATCTTATATATATTAGTCTATTAGCAAATGATTGTAAATTTCGAACAAAGTTCATCAAATGAAACTCATCTTTGAACTTGTTTACTTTGAAAATTAGTCTATAGAAACATATGTGTTTTTTTTTGTTTCTATATTGACATGTCTAATTATTTGTCCTATTTCCTATATAGTATAGTTTCGGTTTATTTCATCTTTTTTTTGAATATGAACAGAACTAAAAACATCAAATGACATAATTTAAATTAAATAAAGAAAAAAAAACAATCCTCAACATTGTCTACTACCTAAAGAAAAAAAGTCATTAAAAATGAATTTGATGAGTTCAATCATTAAAAAAATAAAAAGGTTTCTTCCTTCCTTCCTTCCTCTCTATTTCCTTTGAGAACAATGAGAAATTTGATCTTGATTGAAATCATCTGCCTCATTCATCATGTTAGACAAACTTCCGGAATCAAATTTATTTTAATCGAAAACACAAATTTATTTATATATATATATATATATATATATGTACAAAAACAACACTGTTCATTGTGCTTTATATATTATAAATGAACAAAAGTTTAATCATGATTTTCAACAATTGATGAAGAAGATTGATTTTCTGATAATGAAAAATCCAATGGAAATTCATTATGATTTGTACGAATATGTGAACGAAGATTACATGATAATGAAAATTTTTTAAAACAAAATTGACATTGAAATGGTTTTTGACCAGTATGAATAAGTAAATGATTTTTAAGATTTGTTTGTTTTGAAAAACCTCTTGTACATATTGAACAACGATATGGCCATGTACCATTATGTACATGTAAATGACAACGTAAATCACCTGGTGTTGAAAAACTTTTTGAACATTGTAAACATTTATGAGGTTTATCCTATTTAACAGTAAAATTTTTATTATAATAAAAAAAAAAAATTTTCTTTTTTTTTCTTACTTTGCTATGAGTTAATTTATGATAATAAAGATTTGATGATGCAGTAAAACGTTTATTACATATATCACAAATATGTGGTTTTTCACCTGAATGAATACGACGATGTGTATTTAATGATGATGATGTTGAAAATGCTTTTGAACATATATCACATTCATGTGGTTTTTCACCTAAATAAAAAAACATAATTATTTTTTATTAATTTAAAAATCTTTTTTTTGTTTTTACCTGTATGAGTACGAATATGTCGTGTTAATAATGATGGACGATCAAATGATTTTTCACATATTTCACATTTCCACATACGACGTTCTTTTTGTTTATTATTTAATGAAATATTTACAGAAGTATTTGTTAATAATTCAAGTGGTCTTCGATTTGTATATGATGAACTAAGAATTTTATCGATCATAAATGACATTATTATTATTTGATGATCTAAGCACCTTTTTTTTTTTTTGTTGTTTAATAGATCAAGTGTGAGTTATGTCAGAATGAACGTAATATTACGTAGTCAACAATCTTACGTATATATATAGGTCAAATATTCTCTCTTTTTTTTTCTCTCTCTCTCTCTCTCGAAATCTTTTCTTGATATAATAATAAAGGTATTGAACAAGATTAAATTTCTTTTGTATTGAATAATCTATTTATTTTATACTCTTGAGATAAACTTTAAAATAAAATCATTTTAGATGTTTTATTTTATAATAATATTTCTCTTTCATTCTATTCGTATGAATTATATAGAGATAATAATTAATGAAACAACAAGAATTGATTCATTTGTAAGTCGAATTCAATATTGTGAATTTTTTATATTTTCAATTTTTAAATAGCAAAAAACTAATATAATTATAATTGAACGAGTATATACTCGTAATAAACAAGAAATTCTATTAAAAAGACCATTACTTCTTTATTTATATATTGAATCAGCTGAAATATATCCATTAGAATATTTAAAGGTATTATTATTAATATTAATTTTCAAATTCTTTATTTTTTTTTTTGCTTATAGAGTATCAATAATAAATTATTTCCAATATCATTTCAACATTTTCAAACAGAAAATAATTCTAAAAAAAATATAAAACAATCAACTTTTTGTGGTTATGATAGTTTTGATATACATACAGCAAAACCTATCAAAGTTTAATTTTTGATTTAAGAAATTTATTTCAACAAGACTCTTTTCATTCTAGGAATTCTCTTGTAAACATTGTCTCAATCAAACTTGTCAAACGACTACACATTGCATACGAATGGATGATTATTGGTAAGATGCCGGTAAAGCGAAATTTGAGCAAACGTTTTTTTTTTGTCATGACTGCATAAAATTCGTCTCCAGACGAGCAAATTAACGAATAGATTAGTTCATCGCTTTTCACAGTTTAATTGTAATTTCATTTGTTCTACATGTTTTCTATTAATGAATAAATGAATTTCTTTTGTGAACCAAAAAAAAAAAAATGCGTAAGCATGGAAATTAATGAAATACAGCTGTTTAGGAACTGGTGAATAAATAATAGGCATATGTTATGAAATTAGACACAGTCTAGAAATGAAACGATGGAGATTTTTATTAATCTGACAGAAATATGAACATATCTCACGAAGCGCTGAACGATGGTCAATTGAAATTACCCGAGAGTTTATCAGATTCAAAAAACAAGTGTCAGTATGAGATGGATGCAATATCTATTATTGAAATACTCATAGCAGAGTGTGTAGTTCTTGCACCATTTGCAATGTGCCTGTACTCCCAAAAATAAGTGTTCACCCCTGCACAAGAGAATGTCTATAGATACAATATTGAATTGAAATGTATCTTCTTGCGTTTCTAAACTTAACCCTTTATTCCTCATTGGCAACTGGAATTGCCATTTTTAGAAATATTGCAGAAAATAAAGGAAGCGTCGGATTCAAAAACGATAAGAACCTTTTTTGTACTAAAGGTTCTATATCCATAGACAATAGAGATCTTTTGAAATTTCTATGCGATATTAATTGATGAAGAAGTCCACTAATGAATAAAATATATTTCAAAAGTTTCATGATAACTTAACGAATTACACATGTTCAAAACAAAAAAGACTCTCATTTGACAACACGTGTAAAAAACACATGCATTCTTTGGTATTAATTTTTATCGGTTCACAACTGTTTCTTTCCCTATTATTTCTAAAGTACAGAATATATGTTGCTTCTGCCCACTCAATAGTGTCGTCAAAGAAAACAAAATTCAAGTGTCATGATGTTGTTCAATTCCCTTTTTCTATCACATGATCGCTGAATCTATCAAGCCATCCTACTCTAGAAGCAGGACGTTCGGCGGATTACACCACATTATTGACATATAAGAGAGACTAATACTTTATTTATGAAGTTATTTTATCAGTAGCTCTTCTGGTAATGCTATGGGGGGTAAAGGGTTAAGATGCTGTCGCCTGGCAGAATCGTATAGAATTTTTTGTCAATCTCCTCCAAAATAGGGATGCACCAGTCCCAGTTCTGACTGGGTACTGAGTCCTTTGATCTTTAGTCCATTAGTCGAGTAGTACTTTCTTCTTTTTTAGTACATTGTCATACAGTGATTCTTAGGCTATTGAAGTACTGATATAAACTATAACACTGAATTCATTGGCTAATCATATATATCTATATATCAATCATTATAATTTAGAATACTATAAATAAATTTCATGTCTTCAGGGTGTGGGTGTTGTTTGGATGGATGTGGGAATGGTTAGAATGACAATAACCACACCCATACAAACATCAAACCCATACCCTTAGAAAAGAGGGAAGTACTGGTTGATTAGCAGAATAAACGTCAAATGGCTAAGTACCCAGTCGTGACTGGGTGTCCAGTTACTGACACTGGTGCACCCCTACTCAGTTCGAATATACATTTTGATAGGTAACTTGAGACATGCTATCCAATCGTACCAAAACTCGGTTAAAAAATAATTCTTCTCGAATTTCGAATTATCGACACATTATAACTTTCTAATCCTTCTAATAATACATCAAATTAATTCATCTAGGTATGATGTTTATGATATTGATTCACGTCAATTACATTTTTCTTTATCTCTTCATATTTATGAACTTGAAGATGATTTTACTTGGACATTACTATTAAAAACAGATCTCATTGATTTTCCATTTGTAAATAAAACTACTGAAATTGCTGATATTCAAATAACATCATTAACAACAAATGAACATTCAATATCAAATATTTTACTTAATGAATATAAATATTTATTAGTTCGTCAACCAATACAAACAATAAACAATAAAATACAATTAAATATAATTATCATATCATACATGAAAAAAAAAATTAATTTTATTTTTTTTTGTAGGAATTTCATAATGAATTTATGGTAATTAATAAATCTGAATTAAATCTTGACGAAGATAATATATGTAAGAAAATCGTTAATACAACAGATGATCAAATATGTTCAATTGAATGTTCAAAAAATCAACCATTTGATTTTTGGCTTGCTGATAAAGTAATAGCAAGAAAAAAATAATAAAAACAAGAAATAATTAATCAATCAATGATTTTATACTTTATCTAGTCAAATGAAATGAATAAACAACCTTTTCATTATGTTTTTCAACCTCATCTTGATTTACCCATTCATGAATATAATCATAAATTTAAATTTCTTATACCATATAAACAACAATTTCGTCTTAATATAACATTTAAACAAAATCAATCAATTGGATTTGAGTAAATAATTTTGTATAAGATGATATTTTATTAAATATTATTCATATAGATGTTTAATTTCAATTATTGAAATATCAATTGAATCATTTTCTAAGTATACATTTCAAATAGCATTAATTATAAATAATACAGGTTTATCTCAATGTTCGATACGTATATCTTTTAAACAAAATCAATTAAAAAATTCATATTTTATTAAACAAGAATATCCATATGAATATCATATTAGTCCAATGTATGAACAATTAATATTTTTTACGATATCAATAAAAAGACGTCAATGGAAAAGAATAATTTTTTCACCTATGTATATACAAGCAAAAGTCAATGATTTATCTACAAATTCAACATTAGTAGAACGACAATTTTTATTGAAATATGGTCATCATTGTGTCTGTATTTCAATTTGTCGTTGTCAAGTAATGTCGTTTCTTTAATAACATAAATGTTGTTTTCCAACGTAGGAAATCGACGCAACAGCATTCCTCCGAAGATTGAATTGACCTTCCCCGGAATTTTAAATCGCTCTTCCGAAAGAGAAAATCTAGATAAAATTTTGGTCGGGATATTATTAGAAGTCTCAATGGGCTGAATCGAAGAAAGCCAGCCGAGCTAATGATAAGTGGGACAGAAAGAAATTTTTGCTTGGAATTTCGCGATAGTGAAAAATACGCTATCATTTTTTAGCACTTGCTTGATTCGTATGACATCTAATATTCTGTCTCTTGGAGATTCATTACTTTTTTTTTAATTCACGAATATTTCGTGTGTTCAGTGTGTTTATGTGTTCTACAACTCTGTTGTTTACGAAAATAGAAGGATTAATTTTACTATCGAAATTCAAATTATCGTTACTCAATAATTTTTGCATAAAATTTTAGAACATGTATAAGTCGTGAGAAAATGACACTTTATGCAAGTCTTACACTACTATAAGAAATATCATTCTCAATGAAACAGTGTTGGTTCTGGTCCGAGACCATCTTAGCCATAGACTACTCATCTAATTGCAATTTTGAATAAATAACAATATACACCAATGGTTGTTGTTTCAAAAGAAATTTCATCTGTTTCGATTTATACTGTTTTGTATCTGATGATGAACAAGAAAAGGAATACGATGTTTTTTTATTTATATCTTAGTGTTTTAAAAATACACTTATTCCTAATCTATCACAATTAAAATGTGTATCTATGCTTGAAAGTGATATTAATCAAGCAGGATTATCATATGTTAATCATGATAGAATATTGAAATTATTAATTAATCATAAAAATCCAATGATTGAAATGATGAATGAACAATCAAGATATATTAGAAAATGGTTTTTATTTATTGCTGTATTTGCACTTTGTTTAAGTAAGTTAAAATAAATTATGTTTTGCTAAAAATATCGAATTATTTTTAGATATCTTATTAGTTTTTACTGTCAAGTAATTATTGATTTTAATCATAATATATTGTCTTGAATAAATAAAATTCAAATTCTATATTTTAATAATATTTATGGTAAACAAGAGCGTCGTTAATATCAATTTGTAATTTAACTTCTTGTTCTATTTTTATTTACATTGAGAAAAATGACAATATATGGATGCAACAAATTCAATTTGTTGTCAGAGATGAACAACTCATTGAAAAATTTACTCTAACTTTTTTCATATAAAATGAATATCACATGACTTGAATCCACTTATTCTTCAAATCATTACTTTCATACAATCAATAATTTAATTTTGGTTTTAAATTATCCAAATCCCATGAATTTTCTATGACAGGGAGGAGGAGGGAAGAAAAATTCTTACAAATAGAACAATGCTTTTTTGTTATATGGAAAAGAAACAAAGATGGATAAGCGCGAGTATGTACTCGTTAGAGTTCGACATGAACAAAACAATATTAAAAATACAGGACAATGTCTGACATGGGTCACTTTTTTTGTCACCCGAGCCGGACACTGATACAGGATGTCCGGAGAGTCCTTGACCAAAATTACACAACAAAGTCTTTTTTCGCTTTGCAAAAGAAAAAAATATGTAGGATTTGTTCACTTTTGATTCATTATTGTGAACTTCCGATCATCCAGACCTATTGTTCTTGTTTTACAAAAATTTTTTTAACACGTCTGAAAAATCTTCAGTGTTTAGTACATTTCTTTAAAAACGGTTTGTTTCATCCCTGATGAAAAACTTTAATGAAAAGTAAACTAAATAAAACGACTCGGTTTTGAAAATACAAATTTGTAGGAGTATTTGAGAATTATATTCGTACTTGTCCAATTCTGATAAGAAGTTTCACAAAACAGAATGCAAATAAAAATCGATTTGTTACATATGAATTAGAAAATAATTTATTTTTTGTTATATTGAAATATATAATTGTATATATGTTTATTTGAATGATTAATTTTATGAAAGTGTACAATTATCTTTATCGGATAAAGATAATTCTTGTTCAGCTAATAATTGTATCATTTCATCGGGTGTTTTTAATTTTTTTCTTGATTCTATTATATTTTCATTTTGTATTTTTGTTTCAAATATTATTTGAGTATAAATTTCACCTAATGTCATCGATTGTTTAATAGTTTCATTATCACGTTGTGAACCTAATGTTTTGAGAAGTATTCGACTATTGATAATATCAAGTTTATTAAAAGAATATTGAATAATTGAAGAAGTTTTATGATGAGAAAATATTTGTGGTAAATAAGAATTAAATGTAGCAATGATTGGTCGATGTGATAGATGATTTCTAGATGAAATAAAATAGAATTGAAAAGAATAAAAGAAAATATAATCATACAAATTAAATAGATTGTTTAATACTTGATCTGGATGATCTTTGTTTAGATTTTCTGCCTAGAATTATTTTTCAAAAAATGTATTAATTATAATAAAAAACTTAACTTACATCATCAATAATAATAATTGAATGAGAATATGGTTTAAGTATTTGAAGAATTTCTGATGATGAAAGAACACGAATTATATCAGATGGAAAATAGATTAAATTTTTTTCTTGAAGTTCATTTATCAAATAACGAATATAATATGTCTTTCCTTTATTTATAATATTAAAATAGAAGAGAATTGAATTGATTTACTTTGTTTTTTTTCTTCTTACCTGTTCCTGGAATACCATAAAGAAGAATAATTCCTTTCCATTCAATTTTATTTAATTGTTTTAAAATTTGATGATGAATTATTATAAAATCCTTGCCATAACTCAATGAAAGATCATAAATGAATGGTTTTTTAATATTTATTCCATGAAGATAATAACCTTGTTGTGGATATTTACATACTACCTAAAATAAAAAAACAACAAAAGAAGTATTAAATACTTAGGTGAAAGGAAAAAGTTTGAAAACGAAACATCTTTGAACTTTTTGTGTACTCAAAAAGTGAGTACACTCTAGAATCAGTCAGTGTGTTCGGCCGTTTACACGATAACTTTTGAAAGGAGAGTCTGATCGCGATGAAATTTTCTACACAGTTTAGTCTCAACAATATCTCGGTCGAGTTCGAAGATGAGAAGAATTAGCCCAGCCGTTCCTGAGTTATTGCAAAAATACTCATTTTTTCCTATGGCTTCCGATAGGAAAACCGACCTATCCCCGCTTTTATAAAACACTTTCCCTATCATAGTCAAAGAAAACCTCAACTATTATATACCATTCGATAGAGAATTTCACGAGCTACAAAATGGTATATAAAACATAAAGAAATAAGAAGATTAACTCACCTATTGCAAGAGTAATTAAACGGGAATTGGTTCTGTTTGTGTCCACACTCTAATTGAGCCACAATTCGAGCTCTGTCTTTCGATCACATCGATGATAGTTCGAGGTTTTCTGGGTCGGAGAACTCCAATCTAAGCTCCGTCTGTCTCGAAATCCTATTGGTTGAGTAGTAGCCAATAGAAATCAAGCTTTTATAGAAAGGGTTTGCCAGGCTAATTTTTATATCCACGTATTGTAGGATGACCGATTTGTCTCATTCACTTTTTGAAGTACACATAACTCTCGGATTTAAATCCGAGGTTTCCACTTTTATTTGGTTATCAAACTACATTTTGAGATAACGATATTATGTATCAATAGATGAACAGTACTCTATGAATTTCATAGTTGAAAGACTTCAGTTGGTGTCATCAGTGTTTAGAGTACTGAGCAAACTACTTAGAATCCTATAATATCAAAGATGAGTATGTACTCGTACTCGAAGGACTACCCCAAGTGATACCCACTGTTTGCACTCATATTGAACCCATAGGCAGGTCTCAGTGAGAATAGCAAAAGCCCAAAAACGATTCGTCCCTATGGGCCTTTGTCGTCAAGTTATGATCGGTCTAGTGAACTTTCGATTCATTTGTAGGCAGCTCCCAAAAAAAAATTAAATGATAGAATTTCGAATAAAAACTTCGTTATTCGGCCTGCCGGAGAGTGCAAATGGGTCAAAAATCCAGTAAACTGTTCATAATTCAGCGCTTAAGGTGAAGCAACTCCCTCATAAGCACTACGGAGCGTATCAACTTTCTAAAAGGATCTCGGATTTTCATACCAGACAGAAGTTCATGTATACTCTAGAGCTTTTCATAGAATAAGTGAAGATAGATCGTGAAGAATTCAAAAACATTTCTCTATTAAATGAACTTATTTGCAAAATATTTTCGATAGAATCTAGATAATTTGTATCATTAACGAAAAAAGATCTAAAAATTTTTTTTCTTTGCTAAAATACTTGAATAATTGTTGATTTTGATTGAAGAACATAAAATGATGATAATTTACTAGCTAATTCGTCATTAACATAAATATCATGTTCAGGTAAATAATTAATTCGTAGTTTTTCTACTATTAAAAAATAATCATAATATCCATCTGATTTATATTTATTTGGATTTTCAATATCATTTATTAATTGACAATTTTCACAATCAATCATAATACCATTGCCAAGATTAGCAAGAAAATTAGTTATATAAAAACTACGTACTATCGGATGATATTCACGTTTAATAATATCCTCTGTTGAATTATGTTTATGATCAATTTCAAGATAACGACGTATACTAGGAACATGAAGTTTACCTAAACTAGTTGAAGCTTGAATTATAACCGTACATGGATATGCATGATAATGAGCAATAAAAAGATGTGTTACTGGTATATGTTGATTTGATAGATCAGTGCAAAGAAATCTTTGAAGTATAGAAGTATCTTCAATATGTCCAGTATAATTTGTTGTTATGAGAGAAGTACGTTTTGATGGAGTCATCAGATTTTAGAAAATTGTTTTATTTATTTACATTTGATATATACTTTTATATAACAAATGATTTACTGAAAAATACTATATATATATATATCTATCAGGCGCGAACTATTAAATATTCAAATGTATTATTTATACATTGTGATAAAGGGTGTGGGAGTGAGTACTGATTTCATCGAAAGACATTCAGTCATCATTCACTACACCATTGTTTGTAGAATGAAATAGACTGTTGTAACAATCCAAACATTCGATAATGGCCAAGGAAGAAAAAACAAGAATACTTTCAAAGTTATCTTCTTAGACTTTATTATGAATATCTTATAAAAATTTATTCTTTTATAGTTATTTGCTTTCTTCTTCCATTTCTTATCAATTTTCTATAAGAGAAACAGTCTGTACATGATAAACATTTTCTCAATGAAAAGGAACACCAGCTATCCACCTTTCATTTAGCTTTGATTCTTTACAAAGATTATTATTATTCTCAATAAGATCTTTAACCATATGAGAAAAAAAATTCGAAAAACATCAGGAGCAACTCTATACATACTCTTGATAGAGGTTTTGTAGCTTCAAGAATTATCTACATAATATAAACTATTTAATTTTCAAAAACACCATCTCAATTCGAAGTTTTTTAAAACTAAAATGCATGAAGTGAATTCTTTTTTTGTGTGTCATATTATTAAGGCTAATTTTTTTCAGAGTATTTACAATAACTTAACATACATGTAATATATAAAAATTAGCTCTAGGAATGTTTATTATATCAAGATATACGTGTTCTAATTTTGTGAAGTCAGATTTTTTTATGAGTCCGGCAGTGTCGGATGCAGGGCTCTAATTAGAAAATATTTACGTTGTTTTTTGTTTTTTTCCAACATTCTATATTTATAATTCTCTTATACCAAATTGTAATCTAATTCGATATTGCAAATGAATCCATAAAAAGAAACACTACTGAATCATCAGATAAATCGATTGCCGTAGGGGTATAGTATGATTTTTTCTTTCTTTCGCCGTTTTCTAGAAACTAGGTTTTTCAGCAAAAATTTACAGACTCGCCTCCGTTTCTCATGCACAGTAAATCCGATCGAACTGAAATTTTTTCTACACATAGTAGAGACACTTTAGGGGGCTGCTTTTTTTTGTTTTGAAAAATATTGTACCTCTGAGTTTTGGTAGGTCTTACAAGATAAGCACCATTCAAAAAATATATGCGTTTGTTAGAATGCTCTTCGCATTTTTACTTTTTTATTCGGACGGTACGAGATAGAAAAAAACCAAAAACAAGCAGCCCCCCTAAAGTGTCTCTACTATCTATAGAAAAAATTTCAGTCCAATCGGATTTACTGTGTCCGAGAAACGGGGTCGATTTTTAGCCATTGTGATCACAATATCTCCTAGAGAGAAGCATTTGGAAATTTTAAGTCTATGACAACTTTTACTCTACACATCGAGATCTATCAGCTATGAAAGTTTCAAATTTTTCTGATGAGCCGTTCTCGAGAAACTCCGGAAGGGAGAATCCTCTTAAGACTCCTTTCCCTCAAAAAAAGTCGCTTTTCATCAGAATGATCGAAATTAAGATAAATGCAGAGGGAGATAACGAGTGGTCGAAAAGTTTTGACACAAAATATTTGACTGTTTTTCATGCATTTCAATGCAATGGGAAAGAGTAAGTAGTGAGTCAAAATCAGAATTTGATGCTCTTTCAGAATATATAATCAGAATATTCCTATGACTTTGGACTATTGAGCTAAAAGTAAATCTTTAAAAGGCTCAAAAATTTCCTTGGGAGAGATGAAATCTTACTTTTGTGAGGTTCACCGCACTTTCTGAAGACATCAAAGAAACTCTTAAAATACATAGTATTGAAGTCTAATATTTCCTCTACAAGATGGTGTATTTAGATCGATCCGCTCAAACATAGGAGACTTATGATAGAGGATCATTTTGCCTGAAAATTCGAAAAAATTATGATTTTTAGCGTGATAGATTTTTAAAAAACGCTTGTTGCTCCTAAAGCATTTTTAGTAAAGATGATTCAAATATACCGTTTTGTAGAGAATTAATTTCTGTATCTTTCAGTATATTCAATAAAATTTTATAGAATGTCGGAAACAAATTTCATTTGTATTTTTACCGTCCAAAGGAAATTTTTGAGCCTTTTAAAGATTTACTTCTAGCTCAATATCCAAAAGTCGTAGATAAATTCTAATTCTACTTCACTACTTCTCATTGCATTTAAATGCGCGAAAAACAGACAAATATTTTGTGTCAAAACTTTCCAACCATCCGTTAGCTCGTGATCTGATCTCGCATAAACGACAAAAATTTTTACTCGGCATCTTTTTCTTTTCTCAGTTCATGATACAACTCAAATTCAATTTTTTTCTTATCAATATCTCCCTCAAACGTCATGATATCGATTTTTGAGAGAGGGTTTTAAAAAAAACGTCCAATCATTTTATTATATATATACTTAGGGTTATCCAAAAGTAGTGACGAAGGTTTTTTTTTCTTATAGAAAGCTTGAAAAAATTTTTCTTTTTTTATGAATAGATAGAGCGTCTTTCGTTCTATCTTTCTATGCTATTTGACCACTATTTAACTAATATCATAATAATAAAATTTCGATAAGAGCTATTTTTGCATTCCACTTTATTATCACATATGTTGTATTGAAAAAACGAAATATACCAAAAGATGCAGCGTGAAAAGCTCTATAATTTATAAAGTACCGCTTATTTTATAGTTGTACTTTTTGTTCTAAAAATGGACAAAACTCTGAGTTATCAAATTTCAACGTTGCGAAAACAAGATTGTATTTTTGGTAAAAGATGAATTCCGTTTTTCCTATCTCATCTTTTTATTACTTGATATGTTTTATTTTAAAAAGCAAAATACACTGCAAGATGCAGCGTGAAGAGCTCTACAATTTACAAAGATAAGATAGAAAAAGACCGAATTCGTTTTTTTACCAAAAAAAAGGTCTCGTTTTCGTCACGTTGAAACTTGGTAACTCAGAGTTTTGTCCATTTTTAGAATAAAAAGTACAACTATAAAATAAGCGGTACTTTATAAATTATAGAGCTTTTCACGCTGCATCTTCTGGTATATTTTGTTTTGTTTTTAATACAACGTATGGAGTGATAATAAAATGACATGCAAAAGTGTCCCATTTTTTATAGCACACCCATTATGATCTAAATGTTACCAGCTAGTTTTCAACAAAAATAGCTCTTATTGAAATTTTATTATTATGATTTTAGTTTAATAGTGGTCAAATAGCATAGAAAGATAGAACGAAAGACGCTCTATCTATTCATAAAAAAAGAAAATTTTTTCAAGCTCTCTATAAGAAAAAAAAGAACCTCCGTCGCTACTTTTGGATAACCCTAAGTATAATGTCTATATCGAAAGAGAAGAAGAAATGACAATAATAAACAGACGGACTAAAAATTGTTTTCTTTCTTTTCCTATTTTTCAACTGTTCTCTTCTATATATCTAATGTATGCATGTCAGTCAGTGAATTGCCGTCTATCTTAAACACAATATGTTTGACTGTTCTCCTGTTGTTAATTCATATACACATCGGTAACAATAAGAAGAAAAAAAAAAAAAAAAGAATAGCTCATAACTGGACTGGTCAGTGTATACATTGAACGTCATCGGTCATCCGTATATTTTCATTAAAAAAAAAAAAAAAAAATGCAATTTGTTCATACAAAAACACAAACAATAAATACAAAACGAAATAATAATAATAGTAATTCTATGTTATTTCATGACGATGAAGATCTTGGTAAAATTTTTTTTTATTTTTGTTATTCTATTCTAATTATAAAAATAAATATTTTTCTTTTTTTTTTAAAGATATATCTTTATCATCAATGTCAATTGGTTTAAGTTCAAAACTTCGTACATATTTATCAGGACGATATTGTTGTGATTGTCGTCTTATTTATACATGTAATGGTTTATCATCATCTGTTTTATGTCATCGTTTTGTATTAAGTGCATCATCAATATATTTTCGTTTATTTTTTAAATATAATCAACCAAAATCAATATATGATTCAAGTCAACAATGTTATTTAAATGAATATTATTGTACATTTAATTTTACAGAAAAAACATTATTAACATGTATTGATTTATTATATGCTGATGAAAATTTACAACAAAGTCCACAACAATTATTATTTTATGATGATTTATTAAATGGTATGATGTTTCTTGGTTTAGATGATGAATATTTTATTAAAATTTTAATATTATTACGTACAAAATTATTATCATTAACAGGTGATGTTGAAAAACATCATTTAATATCATCTGTAGCTAAATCACAATTAAATGAAAAATTTAAAAAAGCATTTCTTGCACGTTCACTTTGTTTAATTAATAATCGAAATGAATTTATTTATGGAATTAAACATATTTATAGTTTGTATTGAAAATTTTTTTAAAAATTTTCATTGATTTTTTTTTTGTTGTCTAGTAGATGATCGTTCATATTATGATTCAAATCGACATATAATTATATTAAATGGTTATAAAAATAATAAATTAACTTATAAAGGTTTAATATTTCAAGCAAATGCACAATTTTCAACTGATTGTGCATCATTTTGGTTTACTTGTCAACGTGCTTTTCGTTCATTTAATACAATACGTGCACGACAAGCAACACTTTATGTATATGATGGTATTAATCAAACAATAATTGAACGTATACCAAATCCTGATTGTAAACAAATGGGTTATCAATTACGTTTACCACGTGGAAAATTAGTCTTAAGTAATTTTATAATGAATTGTTATCAAGTTGTTATTAAACAAACATTTCCATTATATGAACATGTTGCATTTAATTTTGTTATTGAATTATTTAAAGATTGAAAATTAATCATTTTGTTTTTGAAATGTCTTGTATCAAGATTTGTTTTTTTTTGTTTTCTCATCTGATATCTGTTTATGCACATTGTATAAATCATGTACGATCGAATATTCGATTTCAATGAATTTGTTTCTTTTTTTTTTGTTTTTCTGCTGTTTGGTAAATAAATTCGATGAATTTGAAAAAAGATTTTGGTTTTCCGAGTAGCTGCCGATCGCTCAGTCTCCCACATTATCTAAACCTGTCGTTAGATACGTTAGTCGATAAGAAGGATTAGAAATGTGTGGAGCTAAGTTTTTGTTTTTAATGATCATCCGGACTTACAGAGGGAACATGTTCTAATATTAATTGCAGGTCGAAGTGATATTTTGCTTGATAAGTAAGACTAGAAAACCTTGAAAACATTTCTCTCCATAAAGTCAAAGACAAAAGTTTAATACCCAATGGAATCGCCTATAATATGAATTATATACCAATCAAGGGAGAAATAGCGAACTTCAGCCGCAGAGACTTCAAAAAATTTAAAGATTCCATCCATATGAAGAAACTATAGAAATTACAAGAAATTTCGGTAATATGCAAAAAACAACATTTATCATATAGAGATTACAAAAGAATTTTTTGTTTTTTAGAATTCTTTCTCGCAGCACAGCTATAATTGCAATCTTTTGAGATGATGCAAATAATGTTGAAAAGATGATTCAATACGTTAGAGATATTTCAAATACTTGAGAGCGTACATATTTTTTTGTAATATTTTCTGTTATCTTTTTGCTAATTCAAACCACTATATTTTCTCTTATTTAATAAGACCAATGAATGTATAACACCAATAGATCAAAATTTTGTATAAAAAAGCGTGTCATGGATAGATATGAATAGTAAATAACAAATCTAAGTTCATACTAAGGAAACGACTTGTTGATCATTGACAGACGAAGCTAGGCGTTTATCAGCTGATAGACAATCGCGAGTGATACAAACAAATAAAAGAGATTGAAATTTTGCATAATATTGATATTAGCTTCACGAAACATTTCACTATAGAATAAATAACTTTATTAAAAACTATTTAAATACTTAGTATTTTGTTTTTGGAATTCAAACGAGCTCGGAATGTTTTTCTGCAGTTCCATTAAATAATCAAAGTTCACATTTCTGTTAAAAGAAGACCATCGAAAACAAGACAGCTTCCTTGGTTTCTTTGTGGATTTTTTGCAAACTAAACGTATTCCAAAAGTGTCAGATTTTATGAAACTTTCTGAGACTTCATGAGCGAAATCTTCGCTATTTCCCCTTAGATACCAGTATTTCATAGATGAACTATGATGGAAAGATTTCTAAAAAATCGAACACGATAGTTTTCAGGTTCTAAAAGACCTTGTTGGAGGTATTTTTAACAGTGCTATCATAAAGAGCACAAAATTTTGAACAGAATGAGGGGTCGCCGCATTTTCTACAGTTATAACCAGCACAAAAACAAGAAAAAAAGTCGAGTTTTAGCAATTTTTTGAAAAATTTCGCTTTTTGTGATGCTTGTCATTTTCTAAGAAAAGATCGTCGAAAATGCAGCAATCCCTCATCTTGTTCAGAATTTTGTGCTCTTTTTAATAGCACTGTTAAAAAATATATCAGAGAAAAATCTTTTAGGACCTGAAAACTATCGTATTCCATTTTTTAGGAAACTCCATTGGCTATTAAAACTACTATTTGCATTAAAGCTAGGTACTTAGCATTATTGAAAAAAATCAAAAATACCATTGAGTTAAAGTTTTGTCCTCGACTTTAGAACTGTTTTATTGGAAAGTTTCAGCCAAAGCAAATCATTCGTTCTCGGCATACTGAAGAAAAGTTCGCTTTATACCTTTCTTGTGGCACATGATTGTCTGCTTTTTGAATATTGAACATATTAAGCGGGAACTATTCGTTTTGACTCAAATTTTCAGGATATACTCAAAATCAAGAGATTTATTTCTATATGAAAATTCTTTCTTTTTGATTTTTCTATGAATATCTTGCTATAAGTTTCTTCGCGTGAGATTTAAAAAAACAACCAATTTTTAATATTTGTGATTTGATTGATTTAACTTTGCTTGCGGTGATTTATAACATAATTCGTTAAAAATCATACAAAATATAACGAGAATTTTTAGTTCGGATTTGAAGAACTGTTTTTCTAATGATTCTGATGCTGAAGAAAAGACTGCATAGTTTATTGCTCCATAGATACTATAATTTTTCAATGAATGCCGTTGTATATATCATGAAAACTGATTTTCGAATTTCGGCATGAGTGTTTGCGTAGAAACAGGCTTGCCGATCTATATGACTGTTGTAAAAGACACACTTGTGTTATAGACATATCTTAGAATAAGAACAACAAAAAGATCTGAAAGTGTCCATCATAAACTATTTTCATTTAGGCTCCTCTTTATACAAAGTTTGAAATTGAAATTCGAGAATTCTTTTTTGAAACTATTCATAACTCATTAGAATCTATATGTAGTCTCGAGTTAAAAGCATTTAATCAATTCGGACAAAAAAACATTCATAGTTTTTTTTTTTGCTTGTTAATTTAAAAAATTTCCATTGGATGATTATTATTCAATTACAACGATGATAAAACTAACGCCATCCTTGAAATTAATTGGTGAGGTATATAGGCGACATCTCGTTATATTGGAGGTTCTTCTTTATTTACTATTGGTATTTTATATTTCAGACATCAAAAAGGTAAATAAACAAAACATGCACCTTGCCTTTTGCCTATTAAGTTCTACTAAGTTTTATTTTATACTCGATATTGTTTCATTGAAATAAAGTTCTATGATAATAAAATGAATGTTTTTAATTGAGAATATTGATATTGTATAAATATCATATTTATTTTAATTATTTATTCTAGTTAATATTGAACAATATATTCATAAATCTGTATCAGATGTCGCAGGCGAACAACCGGGGTGGCGGCAACAAGCGGTCGCGGATATCATCTTCAGGCGCCTATCGTCAACGTGAGAACCAGTCGTCATCGTCGTCAACAAATGTCGCTCAAACACAATCAGGTGTAATTATTGATAATGAAACTGAATTATCATCGGAAATAATTAAAGAACAATTGAACAGTGTTGATGATATAATAACACAACCAATTATTGAAGTACCAACAAAACGTTTATTACATTTAAAAGAACTTGGTGGAAATTTATTTGTATCATCATCAACAAAAATTTATTCAAAAATCTTACAAAAATTATTTGATCGTGTTTTATTTACAAAATCATTAAATAATGATGTTAATACATCACCATCAGATTTACGTGTATTTGAACGTGTACTTGCACGTTCAGATGATAATGATGCATATTCAACATGTACATCATTAGTACAACCAATGTCAGCAACAATACTTGTACTTGGTTTAACATCATGTGAACATGCACTTGTATGGAAATTATTACAACGACGAAATTTTAAAATTTTAATATCACCTGGTAATAGTGGTATAACAATTGATCAATCAAATATTATTTTATCAACAATATTTCAAACAGAAAAAGATATATTAGATTATATTGATACAAAACAAATTGATCTTATTATATCATTAAATAAAACATATTATTTTGAAGAACTTGAAGCACGTTTATGTGAACGTGGTTTACATTATTTAGGTTGTAGTGTTGATACATTAGCATTAAGTGATAATCAATTAAATGCAAAACAATTTATGAGTAAACATAAAATTCCAACATTAGATTGGATACATTGTTTAAATGAAGAAGATGTAGAAAAATATTTAAATAAGTAAGATTAAAAGAAAAAAAAAATCGTAATAATTTTTTTTTTTTTGATTAAAATTAGATATCCTAATCAAGAACAATGGATTATTCGTGCAACAAATGGTAATGGTTTAATTAATTGTAAAACTCGAGAAGAAACAATACAAACTGTTAAAGCTGTTTTTGAGGTAAAAAAAAACGAAACTTTTTTTTTTAATTATATAAAATAAAATATTTGAGAATGTTAAAATTCATAATTTTTAAGCAAGACATACCGCCTATTTGATTTGTTTATTTACAAGAAAAGTCCTTCAATTGATAAATTACTTTCGAGTCGAAACTATTACAACCTTCGAGCTCTAGTCGATCTACACATTGATAATTTCAATGAAATTTTGCTAATCGAAATTGAACAGTTTCTTAAAAGATACGAGGTATTTTGTTTTTTTTTTTGCACACCTTATACAGAATTGTACATAACCTTTTGCTAGTGGGATAGCGCTATGATTTCAAGTTAGAATACCAAATTAAAGCGCATTAAAAACGGGATTTATTAATATTAAGTAGTAAGAGTTATCGAAATCTTTTAATGTCGAATTTACGAAATTTGTTTTTTTTTTTCGGCATAGAAAATTAAGACACCAGCAATTCGAATATAGAGTAAAATATTTTCTTTTGACTTTTTGTCGAGCTCTATAAAACTTTCTATATTAAAAGTTTTTTAACTCATTTTTCTCAGATAAAAAATGACTTGGAAAATCCTAAAACATATTTAAAAACTCGATTTTGTCAATAAAATTAGCTTTTTTCAGTATTTTTACTAACAAAAATTTATCTGAGAAAAATGACTTAAAAAACTTTTAATATAGACAATTTTGTAGAGCTCGATAAGCTCTATCGAACCATGTAAAAAAACTCAAAAGAAAATATTTTACTCTATATTTGAATTGCTGGTGTCTTAATTTTCTATGCCGAAAAAAAAACAAATTTCGTAAGTTCGACATTAAAATGTTTCGAGAATTCTTACTACTTAGTACTATTAAATCTCGTTTTTGACGCACTTTAATTTGGTATAAAATTCATTAGGTATTCAGCTTAAAATCATAGTACTACTTCTCGAGCAAAAGGTTATGGGCAAACCTGTATATTAGAGCTCATATGAGCTATGAATTACCATGAAAACAGTTTGTGTCTTTAGGTTATTACTGCGTGGATACGATATTTTAATGTTGTGATACATCAGAAAAACTGATTTTGATGAGGTTTTTGTGAATATTTCAAATCCTCTCAATGCAAAATTTCAAGTAAAAAATTCGAAAATTAGTTTTTCTGTTACTACAGCATTCAACTAAAAAATACAATATCTTCGTAGTAATACACTAGAGGTACGAATTCTTTTCAAGATATTCATAGTTATATTTGATTTTAATAGTCTCGACACTTAAAAGCAATTTATCAGTTCGGAGAACTTTCTTCATTAGTTATTGTTCGTATTTCCTAAACGATTGTGATTATGATAGGAATTAATATGTCCTCGTGAAATTCACTCATAATATCTATTTATTCTCGAGATATATATATATATTATTGTTTCGTTTGTAATATACATGAATTCGTATACAGACACAATTGTCTGATTACATTCAATTATTATTATAATATAAAGATTGCGACAAATAGAAAGTTTTTAAACTGTTGTTTGAAACTTAAATCTATAGAATTTTATTATTATAAAATAAATAATATCATTTCTTATTTCCTCTTTTTCTATGCTATATTTGAAGTGATACTTTGCAATTATAAAAAAAAGAAAGATGTGCCTTCGAACTATAGAATGTACCCAGTTGATTTCACTTACAGCATGGGATCAGAATATGTTAAGGTTATGAAAATATTTTCATGAAATATTCATCAAACAAAAGTGAAAAATAGCTAATATGACAATCTGTAATTCTCTGTCCAGGTCTTCATTCTATATATTTTATTTTTAAATAGAAGACTAATAGCGATAAGTCCAGTATTAGAAAAAAGAAGTTTTTTTTTATGCAATAATAGACTTATACTCTTTAAAACATAAACACATAGACCTAATTTTTAATTTAACATTCGATATTTTGAACTCTATAAATAATCTATATGTATTAGGATCATATATTTGGTAAATTAAATCAATCAATTATTGTCGAACATGGTTATTCAATTGAAAATAATCAAATATGTATTCTATATATAGTAAGTGATGGTGATGGTGATTATACACAATTACCAATAATACAATCCGATCCATTACGTATGGGTGCATATGGTCCATGTCCATATTTAACATCAAAACAATTATCTTATATACGTCGTCGTATTGTTGAACGTACACTTCGATGTTCACCAACAATTCGTCATTTATTTGGTTTTCGTTTACTTATACAAGGAACAAATTATAATCAAGTTTATTTACTTGATTATTTATCAACATTTGAAGAACCTGAAGCTGAAATACTTTTATCATTATGTGAACCAGATATATTTCTTCAATATGCACTTGATTTACCATCTGTACCTATTTTACCATTAATAAGTAAAAAACGTCGTATACATTGTGTTAATACAACAATAACATCAACAACAAAAAATTCATTAAATATATCAAATAAAATTTTATTAGGAGCAACAAAAAATAATAAAGTTAAAATATTTCATAATCAAACAGATATTAATATTAATAATAATGGTACAAATGAAACAAATATTATAATAACAAATGGTGAAAGAATTTTTAATGTACTTGGTTATGGTTCAACATTACAAGAAGCACAAATACAATCAGTACTTGCATGTGAATATATTAAACAACATACTAATATTGATGATCTTTTATTTAAATCTGATATTGGAGCTGAAGCTATTGAATGGTAAGAAGAAAAAAAAAAACAAAATAATGATTATTGAAATTAATATAAAAAAATAAAATATTAGAAATTTTTCTTAGAGAAAGTTCTGAAAGTGAATAAACAGGTTTTTTTTCCTAAGCTCATAAGTCTTTTTTGCGAGGATGCTAAAAACGATTGAATTTAATAAGTTTATAGAATAGATACTTATTTACAAAAGGTGATATCAAATTAAACTCGCTTTTTTTATCTCAGTGAAGCTACAAGGGGATCCAAAAGTCTTGGTACCTCTCGGAAAAATTGTTGTTTCTCCCTTATAGTAAACTTCAAAATGCTCAAACTTTGGTATCTTATTCCTTGTAATATGGCGAATATTATCCCAAATTTTCAGCTCTCTATCCTGACAAATAAGGGAGATATATAGACTAACATTCTTGAAATCTTATTTTCTCTATGTCGCAAAAATAGTAGTTGGCGTATAATAAATGGGCCACTTTTGCATTTCATGTTTCCATCACTTGATACGTTGTATTAAAAAAACAAAATACATTACAAGATGCAGCGTGAAAAGCTCTAAAACCTACACAATAAAGTATATTTTAATTATATAGTTTTTGGTTTCATAAAAAAGCAAAACTCTATACAATTAACTTAAAAATTGATCGCACAAATTTTTGCTTTTTATTGAAAACAACAATTGCATAATTGAAATATGCTGTACTGTGTAGATTGTAGAGATTTTCACGCCACATCTTGTAATGTATTTTGTTTTTTTAATACAACGTATCAAGCGATAGAAAAATGAAATGTAAAGTCAGTCCGTTTTACATGTATTATGTGTCAACCATTATTTTTGCGACATGGAGAAAATAAGATTTCAAGAATGTTAGTCTATACATCTCCCTTATTTGTCAGGATAGAGAGCTGAAAATTTAGGATAGTATTTGCCATGTTACAAGGAATAAGATACCAAAGTTTGAGCATTTTGGAGTTTACTATAAGGGAGAACGAACAATTTTTCTGAGAGGTACCAAGACTTTTAGATCATCCTGTATAAATATTTTTTTCAGAACCTACATTCTTTTATTAAGAAAAAAAAACTCGATTTTTCAACATTGAGGATAATAAAAAAAACAAAAAAGAACTTAACTAATACACTTTCTAGGTCAAATTTTGCTCTACGATTTGATATATGAATAAAAGTTTTAACGTTGAGTTTCGAATTGCATTAGTGCGATTGCAAAAATTTTTTTCAGGCAGCATTTCAAAGATCTGCTTACTACTCTCGAAGAAAAATAGACAGAAAATTTCTGAAGTCATATTCGTATAGAATACAAAATTTTCTTCCTACTAACTCATAGTATTTCATCTGTCCAAAAAACATCATGTATATGTTTTGTAAACATCTATTACAAAGGGCTATGCAAAGTGCGGGCACAAAATGTACTCTGGGAAAAAGTATCACATTTCACAGCGTAAAAAAAGCAGTCGCACAGCTTCTGTATCTCCATGTACTGACATATACTTGAGTATAGCCAAGTTTGTTCTATTACATGAAATCTAGAATTCTAGGTTTTTTGGGCGTGTATATAACATGTATTCAAGTGCATATCATTATTAGAGATGTACGAGACCACGAAAAATAAGTTCTACTAATTAAAACTAAAATTTAACTCACATCATATTGAATAGTTTTCTTTTTATATATTTTAAGGTATAAAACTCATGGTGATCGTCATCATTCATCGACCGGTGGTTTAACAAATGGTAAAAAGAAGAAAATCAAAAAGAAAAAATCTATTATTACAATGATAAATAAACGTCGTGGTTTAACAACTCGTCGTCGAAATATAAAAAGTTCTGAACAAGAAAAAGACAATGAAAATGAACAGATTGAAACAACAGATGATGATGATGATGATGATGAAGATGATGATGATGAAAATGAACCAATGGATTTTGAACGTGCATTTGGTTCAATATCTGATATACCAAAATTAGAACATATGGATATTCATCAAAATAATGGAAATTTTGATGATCTTAATATACATGAAGGTGAATTCTATTTTGATCTTACAACAAAAATTGATCTGAAAAATTATCTACAACCTGTTCTTATATCATCAACAATTAATTTAAATCCATTAGCTGCTGTAAGAAATTTATATATATATTTTGTGAAAACACAATCTAAAAATCAGTTTTGAAATATATAGAATAGTAACTAACACTCATCCCAGGTCATACTAGCCTTAGCGTTGTGT